CCCCAGTTCCACAAAAAAAAAAAAAAAAAACCTATAAAGTTGGTGGAGTAATTTCATGATAGTTTTGAATTGTCCGCTTAGAATTTGGTAACTGGCTAAAGTCACTCACAGCTGAGAAATATTAAAAATCCTATAGGGGCAGTGAGGAAGATCTCCCCCTCCTAATGCAAGACCTGGGCTGGATTTGGGAATCCTGTGTGGAAGCTGGTCCTGAACATGACAGGCCCTGCCCTCTCCACAGAGCCACTCGGCTGTGCAGACACAGACGCCTGAGCCTGGGGCAGTATGAACCCTGACTGAAAACCCTCACACCAACAGATCTTTAGCTAAGATACATAAGCCCAGGAGGAAGATATGAGAAGAATATTTTATTAGTTAATAAAATAGAGGGCTAGGGATGTCACTTGTAGAACACTTGACTGGCATAGAAGGCCCTGGGTTCAATCCCAAGAGCACACATGCATGCACCCACACACACTAACTAGCATGGTGGTGCAGACTCTATAATCCCAATCCTAAGAAGGCTGAAACAGGAGGATTGTGAGTTTGAGGCCAACTAGAATACATGGTTAAGTCCTGACTGGGCAATTTAGACCCTGTCTCAAAATTTGAGTAATAATTGAATAAATGAATAAATAAAAAAGAAACACTTGGGATATAATGCACTGCAGAGGCCCTACATTTAATCCCTAGTACTACAAAAACAAATACCTAAATTTAAAAACTAAAAATAAATAAAATATGTTGGTAAATTTATTGACCATAAAAATAATGAATTTTCAATGAGTTAAAAAAAAATAATGAATTTTAGGATACCATGAGCTAAAAAAAGAGGGTAAGGGGAAGTAAAAAGAATTAAGAAGGCCGGGGAGATGGCTCAGTAGAATAAGCACTTCCCTGGCAAGCACAAGGGCCTGAGTTCAATCCCTGGTTCTGAAAAAATAAATAAATAAATTAATTAATTAATTAAGATGTATTATGTACATGTATCAATACCCCACAATGTAATCATTATGGACTATAATTATGTACTAATAAAAATAAAAAAGATAATTGCAAAATAATGAATTTTTAGCCTATATTTAACTCCTGAAGAATGCGAAACATGTTTAAACGACAATAAAGATATACATAGACTGGGCATGGTGGTATGCACCTGTAATCCCAGCCTTTGGGAGGCTGGAAACAGGATCACTATGAGTTTGATCTGTGTAGTGAGACACTGTAGACTCTGTACTAAATACATAAAAAAAGTTAAAAGAAATAAAGATATACACATATAGGTGTTAAATAGGTAAAGTTAGCTGGATGTAGTGTTGCACATCTGTAATCCCAGTACTCAGGAGACTGAGGCAAGAGGATCACTGTGAGTTCAAGGCCTGCCTAAACTGCATTGCAAGACTGTCTCAAAAAAGTATCAATGTAGTGCTTCAAATGAAGGCATTTACATAAATAGTAGAGCTATTACGGGCCTGGGGAGATGGCTCAGTAGAATAAGTGCTTCCCTGGCAAGCATGAAAGCCTGAGTTCAATCACCAGTTCCAAAAAAAAAAAAAAAAAAAAAAAAAAAAAAAAGTAGAGCTATTGTCTCATTTAGTGTTTCCTCTCTTAGGTTTTGTTTTGGTGCACCATGAACCAGGGCTTCCAGCTCGTTAGGCAAGCGTTCTACCCCTGAGCTAAATCTCCAGCCCTTATTGTCTCATTTAGGAGACAACAGAATAAATAGGTTTAGATTTATTTGGAAAAAAAATTTAAATACAAATCATAAAAACTAAGGTGAAATTGTTGAAATTTATCTTGTTTTCTTTCTTTTTTTTTTTTTTTTTGAAATTGTGTATCATTTCTCATGTCTTATCTATTATGTTTTTATTTCTCCTTAAAATAAAAAAAGTTGGTCCAAGGAGATAGCTCAGTGGCATAAGTACCTGCCTGGCAAGTGTAAGGCCCTGAGTTCAATCCCCGGTAAAAAAAAAAAAAATTAAATTTAGGGGGGGCCTGCCCGTTAGCTCAGTTCTTTAAGTGTCTACTTCCACAAAGCAGTCAGGCTTAGGTTGCTATGGTTTGATCCCCACAACTCAAGCCAGCCAAACCTGCCCTGAAGGCATTCTGAGTCAGCCCCCCACCAAAAAAAATTAAATTTGCATTTAAAATGTTTAAAAAAACTATGGGTGAAAAGAACTCAAAATATTTCTAAATATATCAAATAATATACTACTGTAACACAAATATACACATAATTACAATACGTACTGAAAATGATCAAGCTTTCTCATTAAAAAATTAGAAAATAAAAGATTGGGCATAGTGCTGGGGAGGTAGCTCACCAGTATAAACACCTGCTTAGCAAGTGCAATGTCCTGAGCTTGATCTCCAGTACTGTGAGCGAGCAAGAGAGCGAGAGAGAGAGAGATTGGTCATAAAACAAATTCTAGCTGTCTCCTATTTCCAAGGATGTTTCCTCCAGTCTTATAAATCCTTTCCAGGATCTTTATATTTGAGTGTGTGTGTGTGTGTCCATATAAATAAATGTTTATGTACATGTATATATGTGCTTATTTTCTATCTGTTTTTTTTTTTTGTTTGTTTGTTTGTTGTT